ATTTACTTATAGGCAGGTCGATGTTTATAGCAACATATCTCAATGTATCACTATTGTTGTAAATTTTATACTAAGTCCTCCTCTGTAAAAATTAAATCAACAATTAATAAAGATCACAACTTGAGAAGTGCCTCGCAAAAAAAAAAAAAAAGAAACTAACAAGTGTATCACAGGATTACAGCATAATAATGTAAATTAAAAATTATAACAAACCTATAGGCTTACCAATATTATTAATAGTTTATCAGTTAGAGACAAATGAAATTTAATATTACAAATGAAAACTATATACATTTTATTCTTACAAACAATCAAAGAAACAAGCATAATATCTTTTCTTTATTAGTATTTAGAAGCAAGATTTTAAATGAAATCCTCATAACAAGAAAACTTCTATATAAGAAATATTTAAACTTATATTAAGAAGACCTCTATTTAAAATATCTAATAACATTAGAAATTCAAAAGCATATTTTCAAGTAGAGGAGCTACAAAATCTGATGAAAAAGATTCAAGAAATGTCAGTAAATTATGTAGTGGCAACAAAGAAACCAAAGTATCCTAATAAGTCAGATTAGAGAAATGCACCGACAAATTGAGGCTGCTTTTGATACAAGGAGATAGGCCACCTTATTCGAAACTGCCTTATGGAACCTATCAGAAAAAACTCTAAAATGATAAAAGTTTCACAAAAAGTTCACTACTGTGAACACACATGCCACGAGGAGGAAGAAGAGGCATATATGTTCAAGGATCCAGCCCTGCTAAAGCAACGAGGAAATGACCGAAGCAAAGAATTGAAAGTGGTGAAGAAGAATTACAAAGAGTAACTAAAGTCCCATGAGTACAAAAACCTATAGAGATAAATGATACCAATTAGGAACTAACAAATGGAAGTATCATTAAAAAGCTAAGGAGAAAAAGGGAGCCATCCATAATCGATTCACTGGAGACCTATGATATCTTTAAAAATATCCTCTCAATGCCTATCAGCATAACCTTGGGGCAGCTCTTACAATATTCAAATCAGAGAAGAAACTTGTATAAAATACTGAAATGACCCTTACCCCTAGTAGAGATACACTACATCACCCCCACTAACACCTCAAAGACCACAGTTGTGAAATGCTATGTATAAGTTGAAGGAAATCTGGTTATAGCTATCCTTGATTCTGGAGCTGCAGTAAATATCATTACAAAAAAACTGTATGACAAACTTAATCTGAAGATTGATGAAAAATCAACTACTGTAATCATCACTGCAAACAGTATCCAAGAAAGAACTTTAGGGAAAGTAAAAGAAGTAAAAATCAGTATCTGGGATACAATTATTCCCACTATGTTAAGGGTCATCAAGTCAAGGAATGAAATCTTACTGCTAGGATCAGACTGGTTCCAGAAAGCCAAAGCATATATTCATTTTGACAAACAGAAACTGTTTTTACAATATCAAGGAAAGGCTGTAGATGTACCTATCTTGCATAATGGTACAGAAATTCTATCACCCCCGGAATCTGACCAAAGTGACTATGAGGAGGACTTTTGTGACGAGTTCAAGTATGAGAGCGAGTAATTAGAAGAAAAAGAGGATTATTTTACAGGAGACACCCAATCCGATGATGAACTATACGAAAACTCATAGGAGGAGATGCAAAGTCCAGCTATCAACCTGACTGTTCTGAAAGAGATTTCAACTCCAACAGAGATGTCCCAAGAAGAGATCACTATAGAAGAAAAGGTAAAGGAATTTAGCACTAGCAGCGAACTAAATGAATATGAATAAGAAAAAACAGAAAAATTCTTCAACAAACAAAAAGAACTATTTGTAGATGGAGTAGAAGGGCTTATCTAGACAGACGTAATATAACATACTATTGACATGAGGAATGTGAAACCAATCAAATAACCTTCATATCGAATGGCACCCGATGAGCATGAGTATATCTAAGAGGAGTTAGACAAGATGGGAAGGCAAGAACTTATCCAACCATTAGTAAGCCTGTGGTTATCTTCAATTGTACTGATGCCTAAAAAAAATGGCAAAAAACAATTGTGTATGGATTACCGCAAACTAAATTTGGTAACTAAAAAGGATGCATACCCCTTACCTTGAGTAGACGACCTGATTGAAATCTTTAGGAAGGCTAAGTGGTTTTTGAATCTTGACCTGACAAGTGGATACTGGCAGGTCAAAATGGAAAAAAAAGATTGTAAAAAAACTGTCTTCATTATGAGATTTGATACTTACGAATTTCTTATTATGCCATTTGAACTATATAATGTCCTGGCTATCTTTCAACACTTAATGAATACCATATTACGCAATTATCTAGAAAGGTTTGTTGCAGTTTATCTAGGTGATATCATAATCTACCTACCTACATTTGAAGAACATCTCACCTACTTAGATAAGGTAATGGAAAGTTAAATGATGCCACCCTAAAGTTGAATCCAGACAAGTATAAATTCTTCCAGTCAAACGTTGAATTTTTGGATTATATTGTTGATAGAGACAGAATTCATCTGGATCAAGGAAAAGTTAACAAAATATAAAATTTCTCAGTCCCAACTACGCTACAATAACTGCGAGGTTTTATAGGCCTGGCCTTGTACTACTGAAGATTTATTAAGGGATTCACGGTAATGGCAAGACCCTACACCACCTGCTTGGAAAAGATGAACTGTACAATTGGAAAAGTGAATAACAATTAGCATTTGAGGCGTTGAAAAGATATTTGATTACTGCCCCGATTCTAAGATACCCTGACTTCAAAAAAACCTTTTACCTGTATACTGACGTATTTGGAATAGGCTTGGTAGCTGTACTGACACAAATAGATGACACAAGAAGAGAGTACATAGTTACTTATACCAGCAGAGGTCTGACAAAGCCCAAACGCAACTACGAGGCCATGGAACTCGAATGTCTAGCAGTCATCTGGAAAATCGAATATTTTCACTATTATTTGGGGATGAAACCCTTTATTGTAGTAACTGATCACTCCGCATTAAAATAGTTAGAAATCTCAAAGCTGAAAGTGAGGAGGGTGCGATAACCATATAATTATAAAATAATACATAGAGCTGGGAAAAGATATTCAAATGTCAACGCCCTGTCAAAAATGATTCACAAGAAATACCTGTGCACATTGACAATGAAGAACTGGCTATCAGATAATATTTACCTCCATAAAAACAAGTGCCACACCGATCTCAACCACCGTAAACAGATGAAACCTGACAATATTATAGCACTAGTAACAAATAAAAACACAAAGAACTTCCAGTCCAGTATCTAAAAAAGAAAAGAAAAGAAACAAGCGAAGCGAATAGCAACAATAACAAAAAAAAAAAAGAGAGAAAAGAAAAGCAAAAGGAAAAGAAACAAAATGATAACAATCTGAGGAACAGAATCCAGTCCAGGTTTCAGTGTCCTGGCATATAAAATAATAATAATAATAATAATAATAATGTCAAAAAAAAAAAAAATAGAGATGGATCACTATTGGCACTTATGATAATACTTACAAAATTAATAAATGCCTGCTAACTACATACCACAACAACAACGACGATTACAAGTGTGAAAGGAGATTTGCATCATCACATGGACTGATGTCATGACGATCACAAATCTCTAATTTCTGAGAAATCTGAGTTATTATCGTTATAGTAAATATATTTCTTTTCTTTGATTTCTTTAATATATGTCTTTTCTTAGTTATAGCAGATATAGCGAATATAGTAGAGATAGTTAGGATAGTTATTATAATTTTACTATGACATTAAGCATGTATATAAAGGAAAGGCCAAATCAAAAATAAAAGGGAGAACTTCTGCAATAGTAACTAAGGAAAGTTTGAGTAGTTGTCCCAAGGAATGTATTGATGAATTGATTGAGTTTTTGTAGAGTTTTTAAGAGAGAAACTCGGACCAAATTATTGCGCCTCAGCCTTAACACCCTAGAAGAAGAGTGGGTTTGGATAGCCCCCCACACAAGTGCAGAGTCTATTCTTTACAATAAAGGATGGGCTTGTATACAAAAAAGATAAACATAAATCCAGACAGTTATTAAAAGTTTTACAATACCACGAACTTGAGTCAGTGTTATACCTGACTTACATGCACCCTATGGGAGGACACCTAGGAAGAGATACAATATTCCATAAAATTCGCGACATATATTACTGGCCCCAACTGTATAAAGATATAAGTATATATATACGAATATGTGATCAGTGTCAAAAAAGAGAGAAAAGGCAGCAATGCGGATCTTTACATCCAATACCATTGGAGGCTCCATTTTATAAGATAGGAATAGATATTGTTGATCCACTACCTATTACTCCCCAAAGAAAACAATATATCATAGTAGCGACAAATTATATGACCAAGTGGCTAGAAGCCCGAGCTCTCAAAGATACCACTGCCTAGAGAATCGCTGAATTTATATATAAAGACATTGTATGCCAACATGGATGTCCTACATATATATTATCTGACCAAGGAGCCAACTTTCACAATCACTTACTCAACCTATTTCTAGAAAAGATTAATGTCAGACCCCTATATGCGACTCCCTACCATCCACAAACTAATAAACTTATAGAATGCTTTAATCAAACACTATGTGAATTCATAGCTAAACTCGTGACCAGCAACATGGAATGAAATCTGATAATACCATCAGTTCTTTTTGCCTATCGTACAGCTCAGCATGCAATCACTAAACTTATCCCTTTCTATTTAGTTTATGAAAGTCAGGCTCAAACTCTGATTCAGCCTACCGATATAGAATTACTTGATGGTACTATTTTTTAATGACTTTTTGATTTGGTTGATACTATACATGTGACATAAATTATTTTGTTGTTGACTTAATTCCCAAAATCCTCAAAAATAATTGCATCATGACTCAATTATTTATATATTTTAATAGTGACTCAATTAATTGCGTCAAATAATTGCATCAATTGCATGAAGGATCTACGAATTTTAGCAACATGTATAGTCGATACTATCCCACAAAAATGAGCAAATGTGATAGCACAAGTTAACAAAATTCAATAGCATGTAAAAAAACGATATGACCAGCAGTTACCTAGCTTACCAGACTTTGCCATCGAAGATAAGGTTTTACTATATAGGGCCTATCAAGAGCATTCACAAAATCATAAATTTGATTTAAAATGAGAAGGCCTCTTTTTCATCTATGATCTATGCCCAAATCAGATTTTCCAGTTGCACACTATGAATAGTCAGGTCTTAAAAAGGCTGGTAAATTGACAGTTGCTAAAAAAATACATGGAGTATGAGAAGTTATCGACTGAAGCCCGGCATTGTGAAGTTATATTACAAAAAAAAAAAAATTTTTTTTATTTTCTTTTAGTTTATTTTTTTTCCGCTATATTATATTTTTTAAAACAAGATATAAGAAGAGGAGGATAATTTTATCCAGAGCAAAAAATCATGCCTATCAATTTTAATCATGTTCTTTTGGACCTATTGGCTATCGAAGCATTCCAAGTAACAGTGGCTTCATTCCCATATGACACAAATTAAGACCTTGCCACTCAGATGACTATTACATTTTACTACTTAAAACAAAAATTGCAAGAACAACAATATATCCCATCTCTTATAATGGTCTATTATTTGGGTGAATTACTCAATCATGTGAATATGATATACCAGTGAACTATAATTTCTATATGCCTTACCAAACATTATCGCGTAGGATGTATCTGTATATATCAACTCTTTTGAATGCTTAGTATTGCGCAACTCTACAATACTACCTATTTTACTCTAAGCATTATTAAACTTATGGACACTAAAGAATTTAGACTTCTAATTAGATAAATGCTTGTGACACGCATATTTTTAAGAGGGGATAAACTGTTATAGGGAAATAAGGGGTGATTTATCATGTGATGCTATATCGGATATTGCAACATGAAACAGGTAGGATAAAGGGATAATCGGGATAAAAAGGATAATTAGGATAATCAGAATAAAGAGAATAATTAAAATAATTGGAATAATTGGAATAATGAAAATACTGTATGTTGTCATATACCAATTCAACCTTAAAGACCAGCATAGGATGGAGAACTGATAGCAGGAAGACACTTTGAATAGTGGAGGCCAATGTGATATGCTATAGTTTGTAGAGAAGATACTTGAGATTTTAAAGATCATAAGGCAAGAGGCATAACAATTATAATTGTATGAAGACAAATATAATTGTAGTGATTTGTAAAGAACTGTTTATTATCAAAATATTATTACACTCCTAATTTTTTTTTTTATTTAATAAGCTTTACTCTAATTTATTAATTTTTGTTATAAACAACATACATTGTATATTTCTGTCCACTAAAATTTATTACAATTAGAATTCACACACAGGTATATCATCCGGGTGCAGCCTATCTATATGTATTGCTGACTTAAGCTTATTTCAATAAAATAGTATTTTCTAAACTGTCGTATGTATCCATATTATTTCTTTCTAACCATTTTGCTATCATTTTAATTCTTTCTTTATCTTCTTCCTTTTCTTTCCCTTTTTCTCTCTTTTTCCCTTTTATTCCCATGCTCTTTCTTACTCCTTTTTTCTTTTTTCTCTTTTTCTATTTCTGTTTTGTAATTCCCTGTTTCTCTTTCCACTTCTTTAGTTCCATGTTGCGCTTTATCCATATTTGCCTCATTTCTTCCTCTAACTTGTTCATTATGTTTGCTATTGTATGTTCTGGCTCCTTGACCCCAATTTTCCTCAGT